ATGTATGTGTGCAGCCTGTACATGCCTGGTGCCCACAAAAGCCAGAGAGGGCATTAGATTCCTTGGAAACTGTAGTTAGGGATCTTTGTGAGCCACCATGTGGGTGCTGGGAACTGAACCCAGATCCTTTGGATGAGCTGCCAGGGCTCTTAACTGTTGAACCAGCTCTCCAGCACCCCTCATTCCCTTTCTCCTAAGCACAGCTGAGTTGAGGCTGGTCTGCATTAGGGAGTCCACCAGCAGGACAGTGTCAGGCCCCTGGTGATGCTCTCAGCCTGTGCATCCGTGTGGTGACCGCACTCCTCCACCAACCTTCGGCAGTGGCAGGCACGCTGCAAAGCTGGGCTGCTCCTCAGGGCTTTGCCACGTCCTCTGCTCATCTTCAGTGCAAAGGTATAATCTCTACTACCCTCTTCCTGGACCGGAAGAGTGACAAGTTGTCTCTCTAGTCCCATCTCTCTGGCATTCACAACTGGGAAGGAGGTTGCTGTGAGTGGCCGGACCTGCAGCACTGCCTGAGGATCGTGGCCACGCGGCAGTCTGTCTTCTTGGTCCCTAAGGGAATGAGCGATCTGTTGACTCGCCTCACTGTAAGAATATTTTCCTTTCTACTCCCCCCCCCCCATGACACCTTTTTTGATGACAGTACCGAGGATGGAACCCAAACCGCACACATCCTAGGCAAGCTCTGGGCTCTGCCACAACTCCTCTGACTTCTTTCTCAGTGGTGTCACCAGAGGGCTCTGGCAGGGCATCAGAGACGTGGTGTAGGGTGACGTGTGGGTAGTCTTGTTTCCTGGGAGGTGAGTCCCTCAGGTTCCTGGTGTAAATGATGCTAAGGGGGATACGGGAGGATGTACACCCCACAGTCCAGGCCCCAGCCTGTTGAAAGCAGCTCTATGCAGGGCACCCCTCCCCGCCCCCAGCTCTGAGGGAGTCAGCAGGCTGGAGAAAGTTTTCCCAGAGGAGGTGACAGTCATCAGACTGTTGCTCAGGGCCACTGTCTCCATGCAGAACCTGGTCTGTTTGGACAGAGATCAAACCCACACGAATAGGTGCCATGGTTTCATTGGGTAATAAACAAGTGAGCTGAATTTTGCTTCTTGTGAAAAATAGTTAACTCTTCACACAGAAGTGAGAAATTTCCAGAGTAGGAAGACACTTCCAAGTAAAGATGGGGGGGGGATAGCAAAAATAAAATAGCATGGGTGGGAGCTGAAGTTAGGACCAAGTGCTGTGCAGGGTGTGCCTCCCTCACATAGACAAACCCACGGGTATAGTCAGGAAATTGTCTCAGGGTTTCTGTTGCTGCAGTGAAACACCGAGACTAAAAGCAACTTGAGGAGGAGCGAGTTTACTCGACTTATTACACTTCCACGTTATAAGTCTATTGTCGAAGGAAGTCAGGACAGGAACTGGAGACAGAAGGACCTGGAGGCAGGAGCTGATGCAGAGGCCATGGAGGAGTGCTGTGCACTGGCTTGTTCTCCATGGCTTGTTCAGTCTGCTTTCTTATAGAACCCAAGACTATCAGCCCAGGGGTGGTACCACCCACAATGGGCTGGGTCCTCCCCCATCAATCACTAACTAAGAAACGACAGTAGGCTTGCCTATACCCAATTTTATGGAGGCATTTTCTCAATTTAGGTTTCCCCTTTTCTGATGACTCCAGCTTGTGCTACATTGACCTAAAACAAGGCCAAAAATTAAGCCAAGCCTGTGGCACCAGCCTCCCAGATCTTTGTGAGATTAAGGCAGGGGATGGCATGTTCAAGATCTTCCTAGGCTACAAGGCCAGCCTGGGAACTTTGGTGAGGCACTATTTCAGAGTATTGATGGCTGGGGTGGAACTCAGGGGTAGAGAACTTGCCCAGCATGTGGGAATCTTTGGATTCAACCCCCAGGATCATGGGAAAAGAAATCAGCCACAGTTGCTTGGGCTGTAAGTCATTGGTACAGTTTTTCTTGCTTGTTTCTTTTGGTTTTGTTGTTGTTTTTGTAATAGAGTAGGACCATGCTTTTTTTTTTTTTTATTGCCATGGCTCTGTAGTATAGCTCAACATTAGGCATTCTGAGGACTGTAGCAGACTTTCTTTTGGGCCACCACCCAGCTCCCAAATCATGGCATGAAGACTTAATATTAGTTATGAATGCTGACCTTATCTCAGCTCTTGTTTCTTGCTGGCTCTTATAACTTAACCCGTTTCTCTTCATCTACGTTTTGCCTCAGGGCTTTTTTCTTTCTGTCTGTCTGTCTGTATATATTACTTTCGTTGCTTCTCATGTGTGGCTGGTGTGGCTGTCTGGCTTTTGGCCCCAGGGATGTCCCTCTCCATTCCTACTTCTCTCTTGTCTTCTCAAGCCTAACTTTCTCCTGTTCATTCTGTCTGTCCACCAACCCCACTTATCTGTCTATCTCTCTGCCTAACTATTGACCGTTCAGCTCTTTATTAGACCAGTGAGGTGCCTTAGGCAGGCAAGGTGAAGCGAATGCAACACATCTTTATGTAATTAAGCAAATGCAGCATAAACAAATGTAGCACACCTTTACACAGTAATATTCACAGCATAAACAAGTGTAACACATCTTTACATAGTAAAAATATTCGACAACGGAGAACCCTGGTGATTCTAGTTCTAGAGGATCTGATGCCATCTTCTGATCCTTTTGGGCACCACACACACACACACACACACACACACACACACACACACACACACGGTGCATAGCGATAGATGCAGATGAAATACCCATACGCATATTAAATCAATATATTAAAAAATTATATTGTGAACAAGAAGTCATGGCAGAAGGGACTTGACAAGACTGGTCACGTTGCATCCATAGTCAGGAAATGGAGAACCGTGAATGTCTGTGCTCAGCTAGTGTTTTTGTTTGTTTGTTTGTTTGTTTTTGCACTTGGGGGTTCCAGCTCCTGGAATGGTGCCATCCACATTCAGGGTAGGTGGCACCTCAATGAACCTAATCTGGATAATCCTTAGAAATTCCCAGAGGCGTCTGAGCTAGCAACTTCCACTGGAGCAAGCACAAGTGAACAACCTCTGCCAGAGTAAGCAACTTCTGCAGGGCCAGGCAGAGCCAGCAACCTTAGCAGGAACAGGAACGAGAAAGCAATTTCTGGAAAAGAAATTTCCAGAGGCTTGTTTCTTTCTGATGCTAGATCCTGTGGAGTTGACAATCAGTATTGACCATCATGTACCTTAATAGGATTTTATGGAAATAATATTTTCCCCGAACAACAACAAAAGGTGACTTTCAGAAATCTGTTTACTAACAGGCAGCTGGATTCTCTGGTCTCCATCAGTGCCTCACTTAGGTGAGAATAATTGGAAAACCCAGCAGTGTCTTATCAGGCGCTCTGTGGTTTTGGCCACAGGTTCTCTGAAAGGGCTCTAGGGCTTCCTAGAGTGCACTTAAAAATCTACTACAAATACCAAAGCCTCTGAGAAGGCCAGCAAGCGGGACCGAGGGCACCAGCACAGGAATTAGACTCTCTGAAAAGCAGTCCTTTTTTGAAAGAAAACAGGGTGTCTAAGAAATTGTGAACATATACCATGTGTGCTCGGACTGATGAGTTCTACTTAATGAGGTGAGGCCTGGTCATTTAATTAGAGAAATAAGTGTGGGCAGCTTGACCAAAGTGAGTAGGCGCCTTAGCTTACTCCTTAAATGGGCCCGAAAGCAGGGACTACATGCGGTTCATTTGTACAGCACAGGGCTAAGGACCCATTGACTCAGCTCCTATCGGAGGTGTGTGTGGGGTGTCTTACCCTTTGCAGCCCCGGTCTTTCTTTCCAAATAAGAGTGGCAGGCATGTTGTAAGTGGGGATGGTGGATTCAGCTGTATGGATTCTCATTCTTGGTCTGGCTTGATCAGTTGTGAATCCTTGGATAAAATACTGTGTGTGTGTGTGTGTGTGTGTGTGTGTGTGTGTGTGTGTGCGCGCGCGCATAGGACCTCTCTTAGCATGCTGTGAAGACTGAAGTGCGTGTAAAGTGTCTGGGGAAGCCAGGGACCAGGGCCATTGCTTTCATGATCACTAATGTGATTCTTTGTGCTCTGACTAGGCCCAGGGACTCGTTACTAACTAATTTGTTAGGGCCTTATGGATGTCCACCATGCCGTATGCTGGACATACGGTGGAGTCCAAAGGCAGTGGTGGGCAGAGTCAGTAAGTCTTGTTTTTGTAGCGTCATACCTTACAACAGGCAGAGCTCTGCCAGACATGCTAATCCTGGCCACTGGAAATTCAGCTAGCACTCATGAAATATGATTTGGGAAAGAGATTCGTTATCCACAGGTATGCTCCTGGCAGGGCTGAGAGCTGGTTCAGTGATGAAGAGCACTTAGGGGTTCCAAGCTTGGTTCCCAGGATGCACACAGCAGCTCACAACTGTCTGTAACTCCCGCTGTGGATGATCTGACACCCTCCTCTGGCTTCTGCGGGCACTGCATGCACAAAGTGCACATATATACATGCAGACACATAGTCAAACACATAAAACTACTCTTTTGAAGGCAAAATGAAACAAGCATTTTATTTTGCTATTTTTAATTGTAACAGATAAAAATTCTCAAAATGATAATGAATTTTAGTATGGCATATTTGTACACACACACACACACACATATATATATATATATATACACTTATATATAATTTGATGAATATAGCAATTATATAAGGAAAAGGAGAACACAGGAATACTTTGCTATAATAATTTAAAAACAAACAAGTGTTTACAAAAAGCCTGCTTCTCAGGCGGAGCAGGTCCGTGGGACTCGACCTCAAACGTGAAAATAAAGTAACAAAAACACCACAACGGTCGCTGGCTCCAGTGTCCCGCCCAATGACAGCGCTTCCGGCGGAAGTTCTGTCAGGGCCCCAGCTTCATCAGGCTCCGCCCCACCCTCGGCCAATCGCAACTCTGCTTCTTGCTAGGGGCGGGGACTCGCCGTCCACTTATCAGGCGCTCTGGTTGCTAGGGCAACAGCGTCCTAGAGACGCGGCTCGCGCCCGCCCCTGGAATCCCTGCGACCAGGTCCGCGCACGGGTGTGGGCGCAGCGAGGTGGAGGTCAACCAGCCGGGTAAGGCGGCGCGGCTTCTGAGGGCCAGGGGAGTGCGGGGCTGCGCGGAGCGAAGCGAGGGGCGCGGGGGACCGGGCGGGCACCCGCGGGAGGTAACTTTGCCTACTTCCCACTGCTTGTGGTGTTTGTCATCCTGCTCATTCGCGCCCCACGTAGGTCCCGAACACCACTCTCTGCACTCCGTCTGGAGGAGAACTTGAGAGACCTGTCAGCAAAGGCAGAGCCGCCTCATTCTGCCTCCAGACAAACGCTCTCTACTGGTACACAGCCTTAACTGACATTAGTTACTCGCCCCCTCGCTGCCCAAATTCCACGTGAAAGCACTTCGTGAAATATACTGAGGTTTCAGGCTGAAGACTGCCTTCTAGCTCACCCCTCCACTCCCTTTCCTTTCCTCCTGAAAAACTATTTTTGTTTTTATCTATTTTTAGGAGGTCTCACTGTGTAGTCTTGGGTAGCCTCAAGCCCTCCGCGTAGACTAGACTGGCCTTGAACTCACAGAGACTTAGCTGCCTCCTCCTGAAAATATTTACATTCCACAAGTCTGCTTCTTCAGAAGGCCTCTTAAGTCACTCCTGGACAAAGCACCCACGTTTCTTTTTTTTTAATTTATTTATTTCTTTATTAATTAATTTAAGATTTCTGTCTCTTCCCTACTGCCGCCTCCCCTTTCCCTCCCCCTCCCCCAATCAAGTCCACCCCCCCCCCCCCCCCCCCCCGCCACCCCGCCTCCCCCCCCTGTGGGAAGTCCAAGGACCACCCACCTCCATCCAGGTCTAGTAAGGTGAGCATCCAAACTGCCTAGGCTCCCACAAAACCAATAGGTGCAGTAGGATCAAAAACCCATTGCCATTGTTCTTGGGGTCTCAGTAGTCCTCATTCTTCCGCTATGTTCAGCGAGACCGGTTTTAACCCAGGCTTTTTCAGACCCAGGCCACATTTCTTAAACTGTATCTGTGTCCTTGAAGGAGTGGACTTAGAGCAATGCAGTAAATGAATCCTGTCTATACATATGACACTTCATCTTTTTATTTAAGCCATTGCCTTCAACCCAATAAACATTCTTTGGCTAAGCTCCAGGGATGCTAAAACGAATCCTCCATGGCTCCTTGGGTTTTAGGTGGACATGTGTTTGTCTTTGACCCAGTCTTATGACCCAGGAAAAGGGTTCATTTGCGTTATCTACGTATTGCCTTTCTCCTCTACGTTCATTTCAGGGCTTGGTTCGAGGTAGGGATTCTCTTGGAAGAAATGCTTAACTGAAGCTGGATGTGGTGGTGCACACTTGCCACCCCAGCATTTGCGAGGCTAGGGCAGGCAGGAAGATCTCAGGTTTGAGGCTAGCCTGGGCTACATTGAAACCCTGTCTCAAAAATTAAGAACCCCACAAAGGTTACCTTATAGCTTATATGTTGCATGTCAGTTTTATTTGCACCCACTTCTTTTCCTTATACAAAATTTGGGCATCCATGATGTGACCTGTACAGCTTTTCAGCACCCCCAATAGATCAGTGGTTCTCATCCTGTGGGGCGTGACCCCCTGGGAGTTAACCATTTCACAGGGGTCACATATCAGATACTGCACATCAGATATTTACATTATAATTTGCAATAGTAGCAAAATTACAGTTATGAAGGAGCAATGAAATAATTTTATGGTGTAGTCACCACCCCTTGAGAATTGGTTTGTTTGGTTTGGTTATTTTTTGTTTTTGTTTTTCCACAAGACAGGGTCAGTCTTTGTAGCCCTGGCCATCCTGGAACCAAGTGTTGGGATTAAAGGTGTGCACCACCACTGCCCAGTTTGAGGAACTGTGTTAAAGGGTCGCAGCATTCGGAAGGTTGAGACCACTGACGTAGATGCTTAGAGTCACAGGTTGGCTTCCCAGTGACTCCTTCTTCCGCTAGTACTGACACATAAATGACAGGCAGTAGATGATAAAACCAGGAGAGAAGATGCTAACAATCACTTTTTTCTTTAAGCTTCTTCCCATATTGTTTTGTAAAGTACATTTATATAAAAACAACTCCTTTGGGCTCATAGAATGGCACATGCAGGGTTCTTGTAATTATTAATTCACCTTCGGTACAGTATCCTTCAGGATGCTCTCAGCATCAGGAAGAACATGGGAGAAATGGATGCTCGGCAAACCCCATGGCTAGACCTGAGTCACGGGGCACCTCCAGTGCTCACGGCTTCAGCGCCACTTTGCTCTGTCCGGGCCTTTGACTCCTTGCTGTTGTTTTGCTTATTTGGTTTCAGACGCCATTGTTGTCTTGTCTTCTGCTCCAGTTTGTAATTTGGTCACTGATCCCATGGGTGGGTACACTGAGCACTTGGTATATCAGGCACATTGGCGGGCCTCGCATGGATTTGAAAGTTTTATTAGATTCAGTTGTTGCTGTTGGTGGCGAGTGTGTGTGGGGAGAGAAAGACATACACACACACGCACACACACACACACACACACACACACACACACACACACAGAATATGCACTAGAGCCCATATAGTAGTCAGAGGACAACTTACAGGACTCAATTCTCTCCTTCCACGTGCAGGTCCTGGGTTTCACTGGGCAAGGCTGAGAAGGGCTTCTATGTGGGGATATTTGTTCATGATCTAACAAATAAAGCTTGCCTAAAGATCAGAGTGCAGAGTTAAGCCACTAGTTCGCCACAGAGGCCAGGCGGTGGTGGCGCACACCTTTAATCCCAGCACTCAGGAGGCAGAGGCAGACGGATCTCTGTGAGTTCAAGGCCTCCTGGGCTGCAGGAGATTGAGTCAGTCTAAAAGAGAAACAGAGCCAGGCAGTGGTGGTACACACCTTTAATCCCGGCACTAGGTGCGGAGGGAGGTAGAGACGGGAATGCTATGGCTGAGAGGAGAGAGGAATGTTAGGCGGAGGAGACAGGAGAGCATTGCATTCAGTATGAGGATCCGTAGAGACAGGATCACCCTTTCGGTCTGAGGATTCTGTAGAGGTAAGAACTAGTGGCTGGCTGCTCTGATTAGCTGATCTTTCAGCATTTTATCTGACTCAGGTTTTTATTATTAAGACCAATTAGAATTCGAGCCACTAAATGATAAGCACATAGGCTCAGTGTCCTCACTTTCAGGAGCGAAGGTCCTGGAGTTTGAACTGAATATTTGGAATTAAAGAACCCTGAGTCATAACAGTCTCTAGTAACACATACTGAAAATTTCTCTTCTGGGACCTCGTGAGTGGGATTATCCTGTCCCCTGGGTTGACACCCTCCCCTGGGTACTCATTTACTTATCAATGATCTGGTCAGCACCTGCCCAGTGCTAACCCTTGTCTGGACTTTGAAGATGGCACAGTGATGGTCTCCGCCTTGACATCATATTCCTCCAGTGCCTATGCTGAAACCACTCCTGCAGTGGTTTTTCTTGAGTTTGGTTGGATTGCTTGATTATCGTTTAATAACCTGAGATGGTGCCGTTGCCCTGTTTTCTGAGTTATCTTCTTACTCACTGGTGAGCACTCACCCAGAGATGAATGGTGGTCCTTCTCCAGCTATGAGAGCACTGGCCTTAGCAAATTTTCCTTTTAGATTTTTATTTATTTTTTTGGAGGGCGTGGGTGCCGTGGCATGCACACGGAGGTCAGAGGACAGCCTGTGGGGGTTGGTTCTCTGTTCTTACCTGTGGGTCCTGGGGACTGAACTCAGATCATCAGGCTTCGCAGCAATCGCCTTTACCTGCTGAGCCATCTCGCAGGCTCCTTGTCCACACTCCGTCACTTGCTCCAGGAAGCTCTAGGCTCAGTTCATCCCACCCATTCTTTTGCACTTGGATGAGAGTCTGCAGAGCTTGTAAGAGGTCACATGTGGTCCTCGCCCTGAGGATCCAGGTTGAGAAGGCACTTGAAGGAGAGCAGCTGTTTCCACTCTGCAGACGAGGAGACTGGGACAGGAGAAGAATCCACTTGCAAACTGGCACCATAGACGGTTTCGGCAGTCTGGCCCACAACCTTTGTTTTCCCCTCTGTCCAAAAGTAAAGAAGATTGGTGGCTGAGGCGTGTATGGAAGTGTGTGGAGGGTCATGGGTGGCAGCGGCGGCTGTGGCGTTTTAATGCCTGTGTCCCCAGGTAGAACAGGACCCTCACTTGATGGTCCAATAGACAGCATCCTCTCAAGTATGTGGATGTAGCTGCTCACATCTTTTGTGTGGCTCTTGGTCTTTCTCCAGTTTAGTCAAGTGCTCTCTGCCTACCCTGTGCGATGCCAGCACCAACAGTTTGCTCTTTATGCCACTGCTGTTGGCTGCGCGTAGTTTCCACTCTTGTGTTGAGCTATGCATTCTCTGGGTGCCAAGGCAGATGGATGGTACTTTTGTTAGGATTCTGTTATAAATAGCATCTGCTAAAAACTGGACATCAGTCCTTCTCTGGCAAATGAACAAATAGATGTGGGAACTAGCTGCCACATGGTGGTTCTGCCTGTGGGCACGAAGCATAGCTGGAGTTGGGTGCGGATCCAGCAGGCAGCGAGGTAGAGGCAGGTGGATTAGGAATTCAAGGTTGTACTCTGGTACATAGTGAGTCCTAGGTTAGCCTGGGCTACGTGAAACCCTGTATCTAACAAAACAAAACACCAAAGGCATAAAAGTTTGTGCCGTGAAAGTCTGCACGTTGTGGGTTTTGCAGGATGCTGGCTTTCTAGGCATTGTTAATCTCTACCACAGCTGAAGCTCGAGATCCTATGAACTGAAGTTAAGGACAGCTGTAAACCCCCGTGTGGATGCTTAGAACTGAAGTAAGGTTTCTGCAACAATAGCCAGTGCTATTAGCTACTACTGAGACAGCTCTCCAGCTTGCCTGCCTCTTTTTTTTTTCTCTTTTTTTTAGGCAGGGAATTACTATATAGCTTTGACTTGCCTGGAACTTTCTATATACACCACACTGGCCTAAAAATCACAGATATCTACCAGCCTCTGCCTCCCAAGTGTAACATGAGGGCCTGCTTGTTGGGGTTTCTGTCTGTCCGGTTCCCCAGCCATTTAGTTCCAGAGAGTCTACAATAGATATAAACTGGTTGGCCTATTAGCTCAGGCGTCTTATTAACTCTTTTAACTTATACCAATCCATTATTCTTATCTAATATGTTAGCCACATGGCTTGGTACCTTTTTCAGCAGGGCAGGTCACATCTTGTTCCTCCCCCTCCCCCATGGTCTGGGCAGGACTGAGGGAAGAGCTTCCTTCTTCCCAGAATAAATCTGTTCTTATTGCCCCGCCTCTTATTGCTCCTGTCTGGTTGTCCCACCTATACTTCCTGCCTGGCTACTAACCAATCAGCATTTATTTAAAACATAATTGACAGATACAGAATTGTTCTCCTGCACCACCCAAGTACTGAGATTAAAGGTTGTACCACCAGGCCTAGCTCTGTATCTTTTATCTTGAAAGAGGAAATTAACCAGGTGGATAAGGAGTGCAATGGCCATTCTTGGCTGTCAACTTGGCACACTGGAAAAGAAGAAGCCTCAACTTCTTCAAAGAAGAAGCGTGCAACACTGACCAGCACGCAAGATATACTGGTCAATAGTGGCACAGATATTATGGGAGTAATCAACTGCTTTTTGATTGGATTTAAGACCTACTCCTTGAGATGGAATCCATTCCCGACACTGCTTAAGACTAGATAGGACATGGGCCTAGAGGAAAACAATACAATAGTTTTGTATTTTGTTAAAGGAATATAGCAATAAAAGGCCCCCTATTGACATATTGCTATGCTAGTAAATCAGTGCTATTTTAAAAGATTTATCATTTATTTACACGTGGGGGGGCAGGTAAAGGCATTGGACCCTCTGGAGTTACAGGCTTTTGTGAGCTGCCTGATGTGTGCACTGAGAACCAAACTCATTTATAATCATTTATAAGAGGAATAAATGCCGTTAATCACTGAGCTATCTCTCCATCTCTTTGGCTGCAATCTCCAGTCTGCAAGACTCACACCAATAGACACATCATTATAAAATGGACGAAGGCGTAGCGGGACGACTGAGGTCAGAGTAACTGTAAGGGAGGCCGACCTGTGTGGAGAAATCCACACAGACTTTCTAGGGAAGTATCATTCGTGTTGAAGTCCAGGACAGCCATTCTAGAGTGATATCCGGGGGCCCCTGGAGGTGGTAACAGCCCCACGGAACTCGGACAATCACACATTCTTAGTTCCCACCCGCTCTTCATGCAGTCAGAATCTAGAACTGGGTGCTGCAGTCTGTTTCTAAGAGAGTCCAAGTGACTCTGAGGCACATGGAGAAGCATTGAGCCCCAGGACAAGGAGAGTTCAGCAGGTGGAGAGGGAGCGGTGTGGCTGGGTAGGCAGAGGCGCTAACATGTGAGGACAAAGGTGTCTGCCTGGAAAGGGCTGTGTGTGTCCCGGGGACCACCAGAGGCCAGTGTGGTAGGGGTGTGGGAACAGGAGTGGGAGGCAGCTGCAGAAAGACACAGGCTGATGCGGTGCCTTCCTGAGTGTCAAGGCCCAAGGCCTGTAAGAATGACGGTGATCAGGAGGAACAAGACACCGTAGGGCTTTCAAATCATTGTTGAGGCTGCTGTGTAGAAGATAGAAGAGAGAGGAAGAGGAGAGAGGCTGGAGCCTGGGAGGAGGAATGTGCCAACAGTGCTCGCTGGCGGTGACTTTACCTGTGGCTCAGAGAACCAAGGAAGCTGGTCAGCCCACGGGTACTAACTCAGCTGCTCTCTGCTTTCCCAGGATTCTCAGATTCGCAAGTATTTGATCTAGGAGAAAATGAAACGCAGCGGTGTCAGGCTAAATGCTGCCAAAGTCAACAGCACTAGGTCGTGCAGCACCAAGGCCAGGTAAGCACTGCTGTGTCCAGCCCCACTCTACCTGCTGCAAGGTCTGCGGGGAAGGTGCCTTTAAAGTTGGTGAAACTCTTGTGCCACCTCCTTCTGGTTTGTGGCAGCCATTTGTCTGGCAAGTAGGAGCATTCCTGCTTGTTCAGAAAGCCCTGGCTTGTGCGTTCTGACTTGGAGGGCTCTGACACTGATGTCAATCCCACTGCCACTATTAGAGACCCTTGGTGACCTGGGCTGCCCCCCCCCCACAACCCAGGCACCTGTGGGAACAATTGGGCCATTCAAGATTCCTGCAGCAATTCCCTCTCACTGCCATAGGTGGCAGCAGCAGCAAATGTTTGGTTGCTCTAACTGCCAGCAGGGAAGCTCTGCAAACTTTGCCTGCTCCATCTGAGGACTTGGGGGACTTGGCTGGCTATAAATAGCATATGCCAAACACACCTTGTCTGCTGGTAAAGCAGGGGAAGAGTGTAATTGTTTCCAGTTCTTACACTTGGGAAATGCTGAGAGCTGTGGCGGCAAACTGTGGTTCTGCTTCTTCCCGTTGTCCTGTCTGTCAGCGCCGTAGAAGTGGTTACTGAGAAATCCACTGGGTAGAGCATGATGACCATGAGAGAGGACATAACACAGACAGCCTGGAACACACAGATCCTCCTGAGTGCTGAGATTAAAGTGTGTGCCACCATGCCTAGCTCGTGTATTCCTCTTTTGAGGATTGATATGTGCTAGGTATAGTCATGGTTCCTCATCTCGTGGCCTCCTAGGGAAGACATGGAAATTCATGAGACTCGTGGTACTGTAAAAGCTTTACAAATACTTTATACTTTTCAGTAGATGGGAGAAGGGTGAGGAGTCATGGATGGTGACGAAGGAAGGATGGATGGTGTGTGTATGTGTAATATGTGTATAGTAGAGGCATGTAGTATGGTAAGTGTGAGGGTGTGTGTAGCATGTGCTGTGTATATATATTGAGTGTATATGATGCATGTCACGTGTGTATGGTGAGCATGTGATCTGTGTGGTGAGACTGTGGTATATATGTGGTGACTATTTGTAAGTGTGTGTGATATTTTTGCGGTGGGTACACGCGGTATGTGTGTATGGTGAACATGTGTGAATGGTAGGAGGGATGACTTGTGGAACGTGTGGTAAATATGTGTGATGAGCATGCATTATGTGTGGAGTGTGTGTGGTAAGAGTATATGGTGTGTGGAGTGCATGTATAGTGTGGAGTGTATATGTGCTGTGTGGTGAGTGTGTAGTGTGTGTGGTATATGTGTGGTGAGAGTATATGGTGTATTTTGTGTGTGTGGTGTATGTGTAGTGTGTATAGTGTATGTGTGGTGAGCGCCTGTGTGGAGAGTGTATGGTATGTGTGTGCGTCGGGTGCCTGGGGGTGTTTGTGGGTTAAGAGAGGCTGCTTGGTTTCATGAAGCTTGTTAAGCTAAGTTAAAATTTCCCACATAAACGTATAGTTGCACATTATGGTGGGTGCAGAGGCAGTCCTGGTGCCCAAGGGACTTTGGATGGCAGGGAGGCTTCAGCTAGGAGTGGCAGGACGCAGCTGGTGGTGGGAAGCGCAAGGTGGGCAGAAGCCAGCTCATATGACCCACTTATAAGAGAACATCTGAAACAAAGGGCCCAGTCTCCCCCATCCCAGCACAGCTATTTTTGTCACCTGTTCCCCATGCTGTCCATGTGAGGGATCAGGTATTTATATCAGGGTGTTTGGACTGCATGCTCACTGGGCCTCTATCTTTACATTGTTCTAAATGCGTCGTTACTATATATTCTTATAATCGCCGTTTCCAGCTCATTAAAACACATTATCCTTAGGGGTTGTGCTTGTTTCGTTTTTGGGTTTATGAGGCCTGTCTTGTGCTGTGGCGGGGTAGGTTTGAGAGCCCAGCAGCATTTCTTAGGCTGGGTTCGGGATAAAGGAGGGGGCTCTGCGGGGATGTGGGAGGCCCCAGTGAGGGAAGGCTGGGGCTCACACAGGAGGCTGCCGTCATGGAGATTGGTCAGTTTATAACCATGGTTGTTTCTGCTAAATTGAATTCAGATGGCTGACTAAATTGTTTTTTAAGACACCCTATCATTTGGAAGCAGCTTGCAGATCAGCTCTCATCTTTCTAATTCCTACGTTGAGAACTGTAGACCAGGGCTTGCTGCAGCCAGCAAGTCTTAAGATGGAGGCAGTGTAGACACCAGGCTGGGCTCCCCAGGACAGTGCCAGAACCCTGGGTTCCTCAAGAGTGCTAGTGCCTGCATGTATGTATTGAGCATACATCTGTGTGTGAGCATCTGGAGTCCAGAGGTTGAGGTTGGGTGTTTTTCTCTGCCCGTCTCCACCTTGCTTATGAGACAGTTCTCACTGAACCCAAAGCCTGCTGTTAGGGCTGGTGTAGCTGGACAGCAAGTCTTAGGGCTGTGCATGCTTCTGCCTGTCAACACTGGGGTTACAGGCACACATTGCCACATCTGGTTTTTCACTTTGTGTGCTGGGATGTGAGCTCAGGTCCCCATGCTTGTGCACCAGACACCTTACACGCCAAGTGATCCCCTCCCAGGCCTTCTTTCTAGTAACTGCAGTCATAGACTGCAAACTCGGGGCATTCTTGTGAGTTGATAGTGGTGGTTCCTTATTCCCCCCATCAGACCCATGTAAGTCCCATTGTTTGCACAGATCCCTCACCTCACATATGCACATAAACACACAAATGCACACTGCTATAAGTGTGTAAGAGGCTGAGGATTAAGTTTAGTTTGGGTCTCAGCCTTAGTGACCCAGTAAATTGGGGCTTTTTTTCTCTAGTGTTTAATTTCCCCTTCTTGAAAGATGCAAGTAATGGAATCTAACCCAGGAGATTGCTACAGCCTTGATGATTAGATACTCAGCGGCCTGAGAAATAGGTTCTAGGCCTTGAGTTTGAAGCCGGTAGAATCACGACATACATAGAAGATTTGCCAGCTTATTGCATTACTTTGACTTAAAGCCTGTGGGGGAGGCTTTGTGGGGGAGTTTTGAAAAGGCCCCATGGACTATGTTTATCAGTCCACTTCGGGGGTTTCTGAAGTAGTGGGCAAGCTTGTTCAACCCAGCCTGATGTCATCTGAGAGTGTGTTTCCGAGAGGTGACACGTGAGGCTGGCTCGATGGCTCAGGGACGCCGTCCCCTCTGTGCTGGGACAATACATACATTTGACTTTTGTCTGTTGGTTTTAAATTTTATTTTATGTATATGGGTATTTTGCTGGTATGTATATACGTACACCACATATGTGCTTGGTGCTGGCAGAGTTCTGAAGAAGGCATTGGATGCCCTGGAACTGGAGTGGCAGATAGTTGTCAGCCACCATGTGGGTGCCGGGAATTGAACTTGGGTCCTCTGGGCTAGTGCTCTTAACCTCTGAGCCTTCTTGCCAGCCTGTGCATGACTTTTTTTTTTTTTTAAAACATGGCTTCTAAGGATCAAACTCAGATTCTTATGTTTGCAAGGGCGTAATTTACCAATTGAGTCATCTCCCTAGCACTGAATTCTGTTTCTATATATACTTGGTTTTTAAAATACGCTTTTTGTGTATGAACATTTTGCTTGCATGTATGTAAATGCACCATATGTGTGCAGTGCCTATGGAGGCCAGAAGAGGGTGATGGATTTCTTGAAACCTCTATGATATATATTTTTATTCTTAATGGATATGGCAATTTGTATAAGTTTATAGAATACTGTTTGACCTCTTTTATTTTTGGTGGTGCTGGGGATTGAATCTACATGTATATGAATATGTATATGAATATGTACATGTATGTGTATACATACACACACTAAGCAAGTGGTGTACCAGTGAGCTATGTTCTCAGCCTCAGTATGCCATCCGAATGCATGGATTTTGTGTAAGGAACAGATCAGGGGAGCTGGCATGCTGATCACTTCAAACACTCTTTGTTTCCTATTGTCTGGAACGTCCAGGAGTCTCTCTACCAGATGTTTTGAAATGATAATGCCAACTGAAGTTGCAGTGTTAGGGCTTCTTTCTATTCAGCTGCACCTGCTGGCCATCCCAGTCCACGTCCCACCTGCTCCCAGCCTCTCTGTTCCACTGTCTTCTCTTTGATAACTCAGTCTCCCATGACGCTTAGTCCCTACAGTCTACATTGGAGTTGTTAAAGAGGGAGGGGTCCCTTGCTCCTGAACTTTTGTGTATATGTGTTTGTGTATGGGTTCATGTATATGAATACATATGTAGAGGCCAAAGACAGTCTCTTTCCACCTTATTTTTTTTGAGACAGGGATCCTTATGGAACACAGAGTTTGCTAAGTCTATGAGATTGGCTGGCCAGAGAGCCCTAGAGAACCTCCCATCTCAACCTCAACCTGCCCTGCGCTGGGCTGGGTAAAAGCCCGCCACTATGACCAGAGTATTTACATGGGTTCTTGGGGCTTGAACTTAGGTCTTTATGCTTGCATAGCAACCGCTTCACCAACTGTGCCACCTTCCCAGCCCTGTTACTGTCTTAAACATGTTACCATGTTCTTCTACCCCGACTTAGTTGGAAAGACACAGGAAGGCAAGAAGGGTGTGTTTCATTCTGTCTCTAGACCGCAGCTGTGGTTTGCCTGTAGCTTTTGCTGAGTGAATACTCATTTGGAATGTGTTTACATCATGAATGTTTAGGGTGAATATCACATACAGTCCGTTTCCAGAGCCATTCCAATCAGTTCTTTGGAGCATCTCTGTGGCAACTGCGGTTGGTAGGAAGGAGAGTTGGAAGTGCCCGAACAGGTCATCCAGCCATTCCCCCCACTGGGTGTGTGTGTGTGGGGGAAGGGATGAAAGGGGTGATCCCCTGCTGGGCTCTCAGTGGTTTCAGGAGGAATTACTTTTCATAGGATGGTTCTCTCTCTCTCTCTCTCTCTCTCTCTCTCTCTCTCTCTCTCTCTCTCTGTCTCTCTCTCTCTGTCTCTTCCTCCCTCCCTCCCACATTGCCTTCAGCTA